CTTTAATACAAGTTAAGTTTTATTCAGTAGTTTTATTCGTACTGTTACGGATACGGACTGTTCCCCGTTGCATTTTGTTATGTTGGATTACTATTATACTTATACATTGTTATATACAATTATATATACATTGTTATATCTGTAAACTTCAGGAGAAGTTTTACTTGTTGTAGGGGGGAAGAGTGTAAGGATCTAATATGCTGAACCATAGAGTCCCCCCTATGGGAATGGTATAACCTGCCACCCCCGGTGGCGAGTAGGCAAGTCCACTAGGAACCAGTTATATCCAGTTGAGTTAGAGTTACCCACATGTTCTGAAGAATACATACAGATCCACAGTACTCCACTCGTCTCTTCTGCTCATTCCATAAACCCTGGGATTGGATCGTTACATTTATAATCGAAATCAAAACCTCCTTGATGCTGGATCATAATCAGTTGGATGTGTTGTTAATAACTTATCATTGCGATTAGACGGTTTATAGTACAATTATGAGCTCCATTACTACTCTCCCTGTATCCAGAATTGTATCTCTAGTTTCTGAAAATCATACAACAAAGAACTATCCCCGATCACCTCATGAAACGCGACATAAACATTCCGACACGTGAGAAAATTGACGTGAACTTACATGTACCTCCGCCATGATGCTTCCAGTTTTTAGCTGTCTCTCGCATTGAGTGCCTAATATATCAGCTCATGTAAATATAAACAGCATATGTACATATACTGTGCAGTGTAGTGTATCGAAATATTGATGATTAGGTTTAGAAAATGATGTGTTTATGATGTTGAAAGTTAGTATTGGTCTAGTTGTTAAAAGATGGTCGTCTATTTATCAGGCATTCAAAAATATATGCAAAGACAACTACATCTTTGAAATGTGTTTACCTCTGATGGAGGCAAGCTGAAGGTTTGGCGTTGAAAAAAATGGTAGATTTCCTAAGAAATGGACCGTTTACCTTCAAAAATCAGTCATGCCTCAAGTCTTATGAGGCTGAAGATCCATTTTGTTGCGAAAGTAACGTGTGCTTTGCCGCTCTTTTCCTTCGTGTCTTGTGTTATTATCGCGTTGTTGTTTCACTTCGAGAATGCAACTGCAACGCACTGCAAGGTTAGTTGATGCTTTTGCCTCATGATAATAATCGTATTCAGTGTTTTATCCTTTTAAACTGGCCCGTATTATGAATCGTTCAATCTGCGTGACGTAGATTAAGACATGCATTTCAAAACATAGCCGTACATAACGGTATAGAGGCGATACCAAACTCACTTCCGGGTTCGACATAACGTTAGCAGTAGAGGTGGGAGAGGCGGGTAAAACGTAATATGATACATTTTGTACAATATGTCAAGCGAAGAAACCGTTCACAACAAGAAGTGGCTAGCAGAAAATAGCGTATTATAAGCCAAAGAAAGCCCAACCCGTATACGTAACGTAAGCCTGTTATGGTCGAGGCTTTATCTATCTAGTCCCATCCTCATGCCTGAGAGTCGGGGCCCATGGTCGCATCCATGTAACAGTGGGGTTCAAGCACTACTAACTGACGATGGGTCCGATGGGCCCAGGACCTTTTGGCCTAACGGTTATGAGTAGAGTAGAGTAGAGTAGAGTTGATTCATGCCGGGTAGGAGTCCTGCTCCAATTTGGGCCGCTCTTCAGTTTACTGACATCTCTGGACGTAGTGGGTGGTCCAAAGCTCTATAATTGTAGACGACCGGGTGTGTTTCCATGTACTCGTCAAACCTCTTCTTGAAACTGTTTACACTAGGCGCCATGACTACCTCCCCAGGAAGCTCATTCCACCAGCTTGCAGTTCTATTTGTAAAGAAGTGTAGGCGCATATTTGTTTTTGCCTGCGTCCTCTTTATTTTCAGGTGATGACCTCTAGTTCTCTTCTCTGTTGTTATTGGTAGTAGACATGCTGTGTTGTACATCCCGTGTGTGTATTTGTAAACGTTGATCATGTCACCCCTCAATCTCCTGTAGACCAGGGTAGGTAGTTTTAGTTTCTTGAGCCTATCTGTGTATGAAAGATCCTGCAGGCCTGGTACTCTTTTTGTCGCTCGCTTCTGTACTTTCTCTAGTTCTGTGGCGAGTTTCCAAGTATGTGGGGACCAAATGGGGGCTCCGTACTCTAAGTGAGGACGGATGATGGTCTTGTAAAGAGTGAGAAACATTTCTAGGTCCATGTGTACAAATGTTCTCCATGTTAGTCCCATTATTTGGTTTGCTTTTTTTACAATAGTTGTTATATGATTGGCAAAGCCCAAGTCTCTGTCTACTAGGATTCCCAGGTCTTTCTCTTCTGAGGAAACTTTCAGGGATATAGGTACGGGGTTGTTGTTTTCGGACATGTTGTAAGTGAAGTTCGGGTGGCCACTACCAACCCTCAGGACCGTACATTTATCAGGGTGGAATTTGAGCTGCCACTTGTCAGCCCATTTTTGTAGATTAGTCAGGTCTTGTTGTAGAGCATCACAGTTTTGTACTTGTGGTACTGGTCTAAACAACTTTGTGTCGTCCGCAAACAATTTCAGAGAACAGTTTACCACTTCTGGCATGTCATTCACGTAAATAGTAAACAAGACCGGACCCAAAACACTACCCTGTGGGACTCCGCTGTAGACTTCTCCCCATCTAGAGCTGCTTTCATTGATACATACTTTCTGTTTTCGGTTCTGTAAAAAGGATGAGATCCACTTAAGAAGGTTTCCTTTGATCCCATAACTTTCTATTTTGTTCAGAAGTCTTTTGATCGGGACCGAGTCGAATGCCTTGCGAAAGTCCATGTAAATTATGTCCACTGGTTGACCTTCATCTATCCAGGTTGACCAGCTTTCCAGGCATTCTAGGATTTGGGTGACTGTTGACCTCCCAGGGAGGAATCCATGTTGTTGACTTGTGAAAAGGTTGTTGTCTGTCATATGCCTTATGATTTCGTCCCTGATCATACCCTCCAACAGTTTCCCAATCACAGACGTTAAACACACCGGTCTGTAGTTACTGGGGTTCTTTTTGCACCCTTTCTTGTATATTGGTGAGATGGTACCAGTTATGGTGCTGGGTTTATGATAAACTGGCTGCCCGGGTTCAGCACGGGGTCGATTCCCGGCATCCTGGGAGCCAGGGGTTTTCTACTTGCCTCTAGTGTTTCAGTAGCCGTGGCGATTTGGTAATCTTTTTGTATTATTATAATTACTGGATATCATCATACAAAAGGATTACCGAGTCGCCACGGCTAGTGTTTCAGTGACCTGTCTCTGGCTCTGTGAGAGCACTCAGCCAGTGGTAGTATGCCCACTCAGTCTCAGATGTGGGTGAGGCTAATGTAGCATCTTATCTCCTCCAGGTTGCCAACTATCTGCCGTCCATCAGTGCAGCGATAGGAGGCCTGACGCCCGAGCGGTACATCTGGCGGACCGGCATCGCCCTGCACTCAGCACCGCGGTACATGGTCACACTCATGTACTACAACTTCTACAGGAGCAGGTCAGGCATGGACAAGTTATCATACTCATCTGCAGGGAGAAGCTTTTGACTTAAATCAGGGATGAACTACAAAGAAGTGGAACGTTCGAACACTGACACAATATGTGTAAAACAGTAATTAAATCCTCCAACTTTGCACCTATAAATCCCCACAATATGTTGTAACAGTGCCACCTATCTAATGTGTCTGGCCTAGCAGTTAATGTATTGGATTGTGAAGTGGCTGGCTGGGTTTGTCACGGTTTCAATTCCTGCAGGGAGTGTGGGTTCTCTCTACTCACCAGTGTGTTTTAATGTCCGTTTGTACAGAAATGCTTACTGATTCCCTAATAGTTGTGACATGACAGACATTTTCCACACCTTATATTAATACAAATAGACCTGCTAAAGGCTAATATTACATGTACATGCACTGTAACTGACAATTGTTTGTCATTTTGGATTCCTGTAGGAGTGCTACACCTGCAGTCTGGTACCAGCTGCTGTACAAGTTAACGTGTCTCTTAAACGTTGTGGAGGTCTCTAGTCTGGTGGTGCTCACATATGTATCTTCAACAGAGAACCCTGGTAAGTCAGGATTAAGTAAGGCAGAATTAAACAAAAATAGTCTCCTGGAAATTTAAAGGACTATGCAAGACTTCTGATGAAGAATATCAAAAGCCAAAATAGTCATCCAAGTAAGTTAGTAACCATTTAGATCAAAGTACACAGACCTTAGTCATGAAGGGGCTTATTAGATTGTAAGTTTAGGCTGTAGTCATGTGTCTGTGTGAAACTACAGATGTACCAAACAAGGGAAGAATTGGATGAATCATGCTTGTTTTGTGTTGTGTTTCAGATATCCACGAGGTTTCTTTCATCTCATTTGTGGTGTGTTCAGAGGTGTACATGTTCCTCACATGTCTACTCTTGAAATGGTCAGCATTTAAACCTATGTCAGAACAGGTGAGTGGTCAGTTGGTCTGTTTGTTTGTCATCAGTTTAATGATCTTGGTTTTACCCAACTTTGGATGATTGTGGAGTTATACACTTATGGCATTGACAACTATGTTTTTGATGGCATTACAGGAGCAGCAGTCTCTACGTTGGAAAACCGTGATGTTTGTGGCCAATGTTACATCTTTCCTGACATCAGTTTACTTCTACTTCAGACATAACTGGTACTGTGAACCAGGAGGTTAGTCAATAATCAACTATCTAGTAGGTATACAGCAAAATGGAATAGTTTTGTGGATGGTAAAAATGTATGTACATGTACATTGTTTTTACATTGTCTAGTTTCGTGTTGTTGATCACTTTATATACCTAAAGAGAAAACAATCTTGACTATTGTATTGACACTTGTATGTACTAGAAAAGCAGGTTTATTTCAAAGGAAACAAAGTAATTTTACTGCGAAAAAGTGTCTTATTACAGATTATACAAGTCATGTAGTTACACTAACCACTTTAACATTAGTAAATGGTAAGAAAAACACTTCAAAGTAGGCAAAATAGTTTGTGGCATTTTTGTTCTTTTGATGAATGTCTTCACTGTATAATCTGGATCCTTTATTTTCTGCCTCCCACAGTCTACACCATGTTTGCTCTTTGCGAGTACGTAGTGGTGGTGACAAACATCGCTTTCCACTATACAGCTGTACTGGACTTCCCAACATTCTCAGTCATCGTGGGCAGTGCAACAGAGAGCAAGAACAGTTGACAAGACTGCTAACTCAAACTGCTATAGTTATCTATTACATGTAATATTCTTAGGAGAAAAATTAGGCCTATGGTAACATTTTGTAGCATTTTGATGTTATAACTATACCACATACATGTACAAGTTAGTACTTTTGCTGTGTATAAAGAACCCTAAAGCGCAGGTCAATTTATTGACATCCTTTCTGTTCATTGCTACAGTGCAGATGTTTGTAAATAATTTTGTACATTGTATTATGTTGTTATATGTATGCCAGTGTTAGCATATGCAGTGTTTAGATAAAGCATTCAACTATTGCAGCAAAATTCCAGCATGGCTAAGCATGGCTAGGAGAGAGAGATATTTTTTGCACTTAATGCCAACAAGATAATTCAGAAATACAGTTGCAGTCTAAAGCTTTGTTAAGCTGCAGGCTGTCCTACTTTGGAATGGCACAGAGTTCATACGGCCTGGGTCCGTTGGTTAGTCCGAGCTTCCCAACAGTTGATGGTGGAGGTGCTCCCTCTGGCAGTTTGAAGGTGAAGTGCTGCAGCAGATATGCAGTAATCAGGAACAGTTCCATCTTAGCCAGCTGAGCACCAAGGCAGGATCGACGGCCTGAGTGACAGGAAGAAAGATGCTTAAATCCATGGCTTAAGTAGTTAAAACGAAAAATACGGGGTTGTCTTTTTACAAGTGCAAACAAATGTGAGATGCATAATCTGAAATTCATTCATACAACACATACAATCATACAAAATACAGACTACTAAGTATTTACCAATTGAGAATGGTATGAAGGCATCTTTCTTCATGTACTGTCCTTGGTTGTCCAGGAAACGTTCCGGTTTGAACTGGTCTGGTTCTTCCCACAGGCTGGGGTCCCTCAGGACTGACCACAGGTTCACATACACTGTAGTGCCTCTGGGAATGTCGTACCCTTGAATGGTGGTATCACTTGACGTACAGTGAGGAACTGTAAGGGGTGTCACAGGGTTGATCCGCATTACTTCAGAAATGACCGCCTCTGTGAAAGGCAGCTCAGTACGTTTGGCTGTGGTGGGAGAAGCGCTGTCTCCGAACACACGGGAGATTTCCTGCTGAGCTCGTTTTTGTATATCCGGGTAGATCACCATGTAGAGGAGGATCCAGTACAGACTCTGGGATGTCGTGTCAGTTCCAGCCGCTATCAGATCATCAATGATTTTATGCAGCTGTGCGTCTGTGAAGTTCTCATTTTGTCCATGCTTTATTTCCTTCACGTAGATGTCCACAAAGTCTCGGATGTCGTTTGAATCAAAGTCTCTGTGATGTTCGTCAGTCTTCATCTTTACAAATTGCATACACCTTTCGGTGCTCTCGTGATAATTTTGTGCAGATTTGCCGAGAATAGGCAGATGGCGGAGAACAGGTGAGAATATATTGATGATGATCGAGGTTCTGAACCTGGTGTCAATGGTCTCCAGGAAACTCTGGAAGTCGCTGTCTTCGTAATCGTGCCTCGCCCCAAACGTGATGGAGCAGATGACATTGGTCACCGCCTTCTGTAACATGCTGCTGATGTCGAATGGTTTACCATCTAGGGGAGAAATAGGTCATAGAGAAATACACATTAGTTGACGACCCAGACACATTAGTTGACAAATGATGTCAAAAGATAACATAGGGTTCTCTATCATTATATGAAATTGTTATCTATTCTATTCTTCATATTTTACAGTACTTTTAGTATAAAGGGTTAATGCCCCGCTTTATCCTCGGTGCACTCACTCAGTGTTTTATGAGGTGGTTAGTGCACCTGACCAGGGATTATCTCACCATTAAACACCGAGGATAAGGTGGGGCATTAATGTTATTATCATATAGCCTATCCAACTGACACAGTCATTTGGCACAAATTCAATACCCCTTTTAGTGGGGGTGTCAAAAGGATTATGTGGGGTTTATGAGAATTATTCACCAGTCCTGATAATGCCCCTACTGAGGGCTTCTGCTTCCTCCAGGATTTTGCCCTCCAAGCTTCGCTTTCCAAAGCCAAAATCACGCAGGCCTGACATGGTGAACTTCCGCTGTTCCTTCCAGACAGGACCATAATGAGCAAATATAATGCCTGTAACATGTTGAAACAAAATAATGTTGTGCAAGTTCAAATCTCATGCTACTATAATTATAGTATTTAGAATCAGAGTTTTCAAATGGTGCCAAAAAGCATGAAATCCGTTTATCATTAGTTATCTCTTCCGAAGTCTGCAATGAAAATACCTCTGCAGTTCCATGAAACAGGAGATCCAACAATCAAAATTCTGTTGCAGTACCATAGAAAACTGCTAGGCGAGAAAATCTGATAATTTCTCTAGTCAAGATGTACATCCAGATACTGAATATAATATGCTCTAAAGTATTTGCATTTGAGGAATACCTCGATCCCTTTTAGGTCCAGGTCGATCAGAAAAGATATCTGGCATGTTGACCAGAGCCTCTTGGATGTTGTCCATGCCATTGATAACAACAGTAGCAAAAGGACCGTAGTAGACAATGAAGACAGCACCATACTGCTGGGCCCACTTCACATACTGTAAGTGTGCCGAGTCCTAAAAACAACAGAATCACACAATCGGTGAGGGAAAAATCTTGGAGGCTAGATATGATATTTTTATTTTATAATGACATCCTTTTTAGGCATAACGTCGTTACATGTTTTATTAAGCTTATCTCTGTTTCTGACCATGACATTCCAGTCCCTGATCCTTTTCTAGTCCGTCAGAAACACCCAGTGGACCTGGGTTGTAACTGCTTGGCACTCTTTGTTGCATCCTAATTTTCATCCGTGACTCTTACCCAATCAGAGCTTTACAATATGTTGTATGATCTTTCAAGAAATATTGGCATTATCATACAAACAAATAACTGCTGAACCAGTCAATTTCAGGTGGGTTTAAGTTTGATCCCTCAAAAACGTGAGTAAAGCAAAGGGAGTAAATTGAACAGTGTAAGCAAGATCAACTATTTCACCCATGAACTTAACTCCTGGATAGCTTAGTTGCTGTTTGACCCATACATTTGTAACCAATCTTCATCCTTGCAGCTGTACAGAACTTCAACAAACTTATAAAAAAGCTGCAAGTATCATAAAATAAACACTGCAGCTCACCTGACTCAGAGTCAACAGGTTTCCTATGAGTGGCCATGGGCGAGGTCCAGGGGGGAGGTTTTGGGGCTTCTGGAACAACTTGTACAACACCACAAACACAAACACAGCCAGGAAAACTGTAGTTAAGTTCGTGTAGTCACGAATCACTGTGGCAAGGAGCTTCAAAGCAGACATCATGCCAGTATTCTGACTTCTCTCCCAGGTGAACCTGTTTTAACTATAGCTTTCTGTCAACAAGATCACTTATCGCACCCTTCCGAGACAGGGTCAGTGCCGCGGCCCAAAAGAGCCTATGATAGGCTGTTCTGGGCCGTGCCACTGTTCCAGTCCTGGGGGGGGGGGGGGTTCCGTGAAGGTGAAGGCTGAGAGTACAAAGTACATGCAATGACAGAGCAGTAACCTCCAGGCTGTTCCATTGGTACAAAAATGGTGTTTTCATTGTAATGTTATTATTTCTCATAACTGTTGCAGTAAAGATGCTTTTGACTTAGCAGTTTAAGGCCTTGGTCTCACATTTTTTGGTCATTTCCCAGTATTCTTACTGCTCTTCCAGGTGAACCTGTTTTACATGTAACTCTAGCTTGTTGTTTACCGTGACAGAGCTGAAGGTGAAGGCTGAGAGAACAAAGTACATGACCTAGCAGTAACCTCAATGCTATTCCATTGGTACAAAAATGGTGTTTTCATTGTAATATTATTACATTATTTAACTTCTTATAACTGTTGCAGTAAGACCACAGTCATCAATTTAATTTGTTGGTTCTCTGATTTTTTTTATAAATAATATGAAGTGACGGCGAAAAAAAATAAAAACAGGTCGATAGAAACTATGAAGTGAACATAAAAGGCTGGGTAAATATTTAAACAATGAATTTTGAACTTTTAATTAAACCCTTGCATTGATTGGTGGAAAAACCTTAGGAAATAGCGAGAAAGGGACTTTCCTGAACTGTTGGGGGCAAAATATTTAAAGAGCATTTTTTAGTTGATTCAGAACCATAATTTGTTTTTTGCAAATCAGAAAAAACAATGGCGAATCCAAGAACCACAAATTAAATTGGTGTGGCCTAAAGATGCTTTTTACATTGCAGTTTAAGGCCTTGGTCTCACGTTTTTTTACCAGTACTCTGACTGCTCTTCCAGGTGAACCTGTTTTAACTCTCGCTTATTGTCAACAAGATTATTTACTGTGAGGGTGAAGGCTGAGAATACAAAGTACGTGACCTAACTGTAACCTCCAGGCTATTCCATTTTCTTGTTGTACAATTTACTTTCTTACCATTAATGGCCGAACAAATTGACATTAACTAAGCCAACATATTGCTGCAGTACTTCATTCAACTGCTAGAGGCCGCTTTTGATCTATGCACTTCACCTTGAAGTTCACAGCTACAGGCTGGTATTTGAAACCTTCAGCAGCTTCAGGGCTTTAATGTCAATATATTCACCTATTTCATCTCAGATTTTGCAATGTTTTAGCCTTAGGTATTTCATAGTTCATAAGGATGAATTTGATTTGCAGACTGGCTGCATTTTCACAGAAACCACAAGAGGACTGATAGTTGCTTGCCCACGATGCAAAGAAAATGGTGGAGAGGTTTTGCTATGGACAAATAACACTTACATGTATGATGGTAAAACAATAACCTACTTTGCACAGTCATTGTGGTAACTGCACTTTCCGGGATTCGCTTCAGTCAAAGTTTATGGCATGTCGCTTCATAAGCTTCCATTCTGGACTCAGTACTCCACACCACACAGTTTGTATTGTCTGAGTTTTTATTTGTCCACCATAAGACATTACAGGACGTGTACATGAAAGCTGCATGCAGTGTCAAAAGTCTGAATCCCTGTTTTGGTCTAGAAGAAGACAATGGCTAGTACCTATATGGAGGAGAGAACTGAACTTAACATTCACAAAATGCTTGGTCCAAAACCATCATAATACACCTGCAGGTACATGTACACAGTACTCCAAAGCATACAATGATATGCTTCTGTATTTGCATCAGCTATGCTATTTGTTTGCATGAAAGAAAAACTCACAAAAACAAAGTTCTCTTTCTCCCCTTGTAGCTGATGGGGAACATGCAAGAACAGTTGTTTTTGCAAACACGTACATTGTACAGCCCTGTCACTTCATATTTTTCAGAAATATCCGAGACCACTGACATGTCTAAGCTCTCTTTGTTGAGGAACAGCACATACAGTAAGTTTAAATCTTAACTGGTTCGTACTTTGGGGTATTGTTTAGTAAAAAGAATAAGGATATCAATTGGTGGTATAAGATGAAAAGCATTGCAGCATATTCATATTAAAGCTTTTGTTACAATGCAAATTTCCAGCGAAAAAGTAAACAGTGTTAGCGAAAATGAAAGAAAATGGGACCCCCATAGTTAAGGTTAACCAGTTAAGACTACTTCTTCACAATACAAATCTACTGTATGTTGGGCCCTTTCATCCACTGAGAGCCACACATGTCCATATCTAATGTTTAAAAATGCAGGGTCACTTCTGAATTGCCATAATTCACAACGACACAACAGTGCCCGTATAAATGCTATTCTTCCTGCTATAGTTTCACACCATATATATACATGTATATATATATACAGTCATGTATTAATAACAATCACACAGTTTCCACATATGATGTTGTTCATAAATATACCATTGTATGGTCCTGAATGCTGACAATACACAGCTTGATTGTATACAAAAAGTTATTAACAAGAACAAGGTGATTAAAAAGTTTCGCTTTAGTTACAAGTTATGACGAGATATTGCAGATATTGCATATACAACTTGACATGGTGCAAATTTGCATCTTGTTTTTCGATTAGACATCTGTACACTGTTACATCCTCTTCCACTGCATCATAAGTTAACACTCAATATTCTCCTGTTTCTATTATGTACCAATTGCAAGCTTTTGCCTCACGACTAAAAGTGCTATCCAGCTGCAGTGGTGTCTACCTTCTACACCATATTGATGGGCCTGTACAACACAATGAATCATCCCAGCCACGATTACAGGCAACAAGCTACTTACAGGAGTTTCACGTACTATACACCACCATAAAAAGGATCCTCACAGCACCAGAAATATCAAAGCACAGATTTGAATGTTAGGATTTCGTGTAATAGAAGCTGACAATTGTTCAGAATCTGCTGCATTTATGTCGTTACCAGTACTCTGTATAACAGAGTTGGGTACCTATACACAACACGTACCTGACTACATTGTTTAGTTAGGCACTGTGCAAGTTTCAACACAAACTGAAATCCCAGCACACCTCCCCATTTTGCTGTGTGTATATATTTCTCTTGATATGATAGATTATTTTGCTATACGTAGTTCTTATACATTGCACTGTTAGATAATGTCTTGGTTACATTCAGAAATGGCATGAGCAAGGCATTTCTTACTTGAACTGGAAAGAGAAAAATGATTACAATTGTAACTCGTTCATCTTCTAGAATAACTGTTCTCTTACAAGAGGAGAAAACCTTGTCAAATCTAAGCTATTACAACTCAAGCTCTTGAGCAATGTCAGTATGGAAATTACCAGTTTCACAGCACTGTGCTTGCTGTTGATAGTAGGCTATAAAAATGGCCAGTTTTCCCTGCTGCTTTCCCAGAATGATTATTCAGACATTCATCTTAACAAAAACATGAACCATAGATTTGAAAGCAAATGCAACACTTTGTTTACATACATGTTTACCACAATCTAATGTGCTATCTCCTACTACTGTACATGATGTACAAGTAATACACATCCCTGTATGAAATCTTTCTGTATGAGAAGCATATCATACAGGGCTTTACAGAGTTACCATTCACAAATGTGTAGAACAGAGCAGGTATAACAGTCATCACACTTGAAAGTTAGCATTTCAGTAGATTTTCCCATTTTAAAGCTATTGCTTAAAGAGCGAAGTGTTGTCATTCTGATATACATGTGCACTTCTCAAGGGCATGTAGGACATCAACAGAGCTGTATGGATAACTACTAGAGAAATACAAATGTATGACTATCATAAATGGATGCAGCAAAATGACCTATTGTGACATCTGCAGAAACGCATTACTAACATGTCGTAACTACATATGATTTGGGCAACCATCCTACCACTATTGTAAAGTACCAGAGATGTTAGCTCAGGTTTTAGGCAGAGACAAGTAAGGTGATGTAGATCAGATTTACAGGTAGGAAAAATTAACATGTCCTTTTAAAATCATCCAACCATGTGTAGCCTAGGGCAGAGGCTCAGATTTTGGCACATATTATTGCAGTTCAAGTTCAATGAGGAGCACATCACATACAGAACACTTGCGTAGTTTCACATCTGCATACCTGGTTCACGAGGAAATGGTCACATAGACAGAGAAAATATACAGAGACTGTAGACAACTAGTTATTTGGAATGTCCTCAGGGTTGGGTTATTCCTTTCTCATTCGGGGTATACGTAGTCCCGTCACAGTTGTGTCCATCTAAAGCAAACTGTACAAATTTCTTCAGCTTACCACAGACTGGTCAATTGCAACAGCCATTTCAATTTCCTGATGTTGAAGAGACTCAAGTCATATACTGTACACATCAGTTGATATTTACATCAGTAAAAACCCACTCATCATCTTTCACCCAATGTCATGAAGCTACTACCTGTATCTCCCCATTCATGTTTTAATGGTATGGTGCAATGGAAAGTAAAGATATGACACAGTCAGAGGCTGCATGGCTGCCCATTGGTCAGTATTGAGGCGATGAGAGATTTCTTCTTGATCATGTGCTTCGAACATGATCGCTTCACGACTAGTCATGTGATCTTGCACTGCACCAAACACGCTCCAGCCCTCCCCGTGCAGAGGGGCGCCGCCTGAAACAAAACGAACACATCTTTTAAAAAATGTCCATCAACAACTTTATTGTTTTACCATCATTTAGCCTTGGGTCCAGTCTATCTTGGTTGGGATGAGTTCTCTTCTGGGCTACAGGAGCTTTTCCCACCCGACTCAGCTAGGTTCCTTGGTAGGTTTTGCACAACGGGAGTTTAATTAGCCCCACCACTAACAACTCCTCGCATCCTAAACTCTATTAGCTCAGCTCCTACAGGTGTAACACTCCCACTGGGTGGTCTGTTGAGCTGGACGAGGGAAGACAACCTGCCCTAACCATGATAGACTGGATACCAGGCTACTCCACATTCAAAAATACAGAGCAGTAATGTCCTGTGTTCATGTGGCTGGAGATTTAACATGTGACTGAACAGTGATCTCACTGGTGACCTGTAGTACCAGGGTCCATCATGGTTCCCCATCCACAGCTGTTTCGTTCGATCAAGGAAGATCCGGAAGATTACGGCCACATTGATTGGTTGGCTGTGTGCAGTGGACTGCATGTTGAGTCCAACCCACCAAAATATGGGACAAAACATGGGAAAAACCTTGTCCTATCAAAAGGTCAAAGTTAGGAAAAGGTGATGCTAATTCATCACAGGTTTATTGACTTATGCATTATTGTTGGCAGCATATATAATATTTTACCTGATGTTTACAACCTATTGATTTTTTTACGCACCACTTTGAAGTAATGTCTTTATGCAAGAAGAACCAAGCCAGTCCCAGAGAGTACAATTAGTCATGTAAATTCTTTGGCAGGGAGTGACAAACATATTTGGTAGTGATAAAGGGGAAAGTTTCCACATCTCACCTGTGTCCACTCATTGGTCTGTGGGTCGTAACACTCCACCGTGTTCAGGTAACTCTGCCCATCGTACCCTCCCACCGCATACACCCTGTCTCCTAGCAACGACACGCCCACAGCATCCCTGGGAACGCTGAGAGGGGCGACTGTGGTCCACGTGTCAGTTTTGGGGTCATATCTGTGGAAAAGGAAGGAACCAAGGAATGGTTTATTGTGAAGGTATGCCAGAATTACATAGAAGTTGAAACGTATACTAGGCAATTATAAGTCATCTCTGAGTTTCGATTGTCATGTTTTGTTTGTATCATTATTTTCTCTATTATCATTTCCTCTTCTATACAAACTACAATGGGCAAATGTAGAATAACTAACATACATTTGATCAATACATCAAAGATTTTGAGGTTAAAAATGTAGTAAATTTTGAGGCCACAAGGATTAGTGGAGAAACTTCAGTGTACATGTACCTGTACCTAAAAACCAGTGAAAGCCCTTGTACAAATATCAAGAAAAAAAATTGACTTTTTCCCTCACCTTTCTACACAGTCCGTGAAGCGTGAGCCGCTGTTACTCGCCGGAGCGTCGTGCCCTCCAATGGCGTACAGACATTCGTTACACACAGTGACCCCCACGCCACCTCTTCTCTTGGACATGGGTGCACACATGGTCCACTTGTTGGTGTGGGGGTCATAGCACTCCACTGACCTGAGACACGAACTTCCATCTCTCCCTCCTACAGCATACAACCTGGGGTCACAGGGGAACACGACACATCAGTTCTGATATCCAACTTTGACCAGAAACTTTCCAAAATCTCTACACCTTCATCTTTCTTTTCTATAAGTCAAAAAGGGTGTTAGTGGTTAAGATAGCATCTGTATGTATCTGAGAGATTTGGGATTTGATTGATGGAAATGTTTCCTTAAGTTGTTTACGTCCTGTAAGATAAGCCTTCAGCTTTTAGGTCAGTCATTCCAGACAATACCTTGATCCAATACTTCAGCCTAATGTCTACTCCCCAAGGATATCAAATTGGAAAGAATGTAGCCTTCCAATCACTGCTCCCCATTTCTTTCCGTCTTGCCCAACAATCTACTTACTTTGCTGCTTATCAGATTGACCTAGAAATGCCATCTTATCTTAAGAAACAGTAAATTGCATTTATTTCTTGATAGAAAATTTAGGAAATGAAGTTATGGGTATCGGCGAAAGGAATAAGACTTCAAATAACTAAACAAAGTATCTTTCAAGCTTACTGTGTTTCACCTTGCTACAATTGTGTTAGAAGTAATTACTTCCTTTCATCACTTTTTTGGGGTCATTCTAGCACAACATGAAAGTAAATCAGGCCACATCATTCCAGTAACATCACCAGTATACCAGCTACATGTATACTACAAAATGGATGATGGACGTCCAAATATTTTATCATCTAGTTTGCTATCTTCTTTTAATCCAGTGAATGATAACTCGTATCCTTGGTAATCTCACAACCCCCCCTACATTATGTCTCCTAATGCATCATTTTCTCATCTTCTCCCCTGGCCAGGACCCCAGTCATGAATCACAGCCAGGCAATCTTGCAGTGAAATTCTAGAACTTAATTCCCAAAGAGAAATTAATTGCCAGAGGGGAGTTACAACACAAGGTTACGGCACCGTGTGTGGGACACCTCTAAATTTTCCGTCAACTGTTACGTGATATGATCTAGAGGGGCAAAGTCTGTAATTCCCCAAGACAATCATCAAATCCTTCCCCTCCGAGCTTTCTGCTGTGAAGACATCAGCAGGTAGGCTGGCTCTAGCTTCAATTTTAATTTCAAGGCTACAATAATCAATTTTCGTAGCTGCACTTGAAATGTTATATTTTCAAATGATCCTGATTATAGCATCAATATATAACAGCCCAATTTCTCCCGAGACCTTCACCTATCTTCATATAAACTGTTCACTAATTGATCTCATTACGCTTTTATTACTTTTCATCCTCCCTGCAATAAAGTTGATTGATTTCTGTTTCTTATGAGATTTGCACACTTCAGATTCGTTCTTAGACAAGACAAGCCCATACAAAGTTGTCTTGTTTTTCTCCTTGCTTTGACATTTTCTTAAGAAGCTGAGAGATAGAAGATGGATGACCAAGTAAGCAATACTTGCTTTCTGTAAAATTTTCATTACTTGGCTGTTTGTTGGTGTCATTGTGGGAATACAGCACCACACGATGTAATAAAACTGTCAGGACTGCTGACTCTCAAGAGTGCAACTTTCCGCTCAAATGTCACCTCCGGTTGCATCATTATTACCCTGTACTAGTGGTACCTTTTTGTATGCATCAGGTAAAAGTGAAAAGTTTTTCTTGGAAAACCTTGTGAAATCCTAACTTGTATGAGTCCAGTGAGACATGTATACCCCTGGTAATTACCAAATTTTCTGTCAATCTGCCAGCATGTCAGCTTGTATTATGTAACTGTGTGGGCATAAATTCATATTCTGGCATCTAGAATACTTAGGATGATTTGTCCTTCAAAGTAATCACTGCCTGGCAGTTACATTGGAAGATTCTTTTACAATTTGGTAGCCAACTGTTTACTCAATGACAATTAATCAATATGTCTCTAGAATAGTGGATTGTTCTTTCTCTCAACGAGCAGAAACAATGAACACACACCGATTTTAAATCAGACATGTAGAGAAAATTGCTGCTGACATAAACGCCTGTGCAGTCGAAACTGTCCAAGAAGATCACTGGGGAACTGATGAAATCCCAGCTCTATGTGGACAGGTGGTCCCTGGGCACTTATCTGAGGGAACACTAAAAAGTGGTCACATTGGCAAAGGCGGCCACTTATACAGGTTTGACTGTACCTGTATCTGCAATGCTCCAAATGACGACTATCAGAACTTCAGTGCGGGGAATAACAACATTGTTCTGAATGACAGATTAAAATAGAGCTTCACGAGTCAACTTTATGGACATAGAAATTCAAGACAAATGTCAGTCCATTACTACCAATTGACCCCCTCCTTCCCAAAATAACCATGATTGCCAAGCCGGTCATCCCTCAGTATGTCAGACGGCACTGCCCTGACTTGATTTAAAGTGTAGGATTAAAACCTAATGGCAATTAAACCCCAAATCAATAGAGTTTAATGGCGGAGAAAGCCCAAGGAAGGAGGAGAAAAAAGGAGCAATTAAGGTGCAGTCATTTCTCATCACATGCTACCTTGAAAAGTTTGGTGCTGAGGCTGAAAAATGACGCTGTTTTTCCGACCACAAGCTGAAACGAAAGTTGATCTTTGATGTATGTCGGCGAGGTTCCTTATTGAAGGATAGACATGGCTTGATATAAGATGCAGAATTGCCAATCTTTTTCCCGCTGCACATTAACCCAATAAACAGCAGGCAATCCGATCCATTAAGCAGGGATGTCTCTGCAGGACTATCAATGAGTTCAATCAATTCATCTTAAATTCTACCTGTCAGCAATGTCAGATATTGCCAATCTGTACCTTACACATAAAACTTTCAGTGCTGGTTGGAATGTGTTTTCTCTAATTCATAAATATCAACTTCAGTATCTCTGGATTTTCCACATTTCTTTGGGAATATCCAAGGGGTGCATTATGTCAACAAGATTTTATAATAGATTTCAACTTTTGACAAAACCTTTAACTTCAATTACACATTTGTCATTGACTGAAACTTTCACAAGAAGCACAGAGAAGGGAAAAGACTGTAACTTTCAAGTGCAAAGGCACGCAGCTATGAGACAAGCTAATTGGAATAGCATCCCTTGCTGCATGTGGTCTGTTCCCCATGTGCCAATCTGTGTAAGACACAGTCAAGGCTGCACATCTGTCTGTGCCCAATCAATAAAATGTAATCAGCGCTGGCCTGAACTCCAGCAGTGCTTCGGTCAGCTATTACAGTCTTTAGGGCATGTAGGCATGAAGACAAGTGATAATTGCCATGTCAGTATTACCTCTGTAAATCGTCAGTAAAACCTGCGCACCGAATGAAATCTACCCAGCCCACAAGTACAGTCATGATCTTTTTTAACACCCTGACTGGTTTATCAAAGTGCACTGCCTTGAATGCCCCAAGGCTTGTTAGGACAAGATTGTCTTCTTTTGCAGTGAACCCTGTAAGGGACTGTAAAACTAACTGCCCAGTTCTCTTCCTCATAGCAGAAAGAACGTAAAAGCCAGTCGTCCAGAAACTGCAGCACCCTGCAGTTATTTCTCCAGCCACCCATATAAACTGACCCTGAACGATTTGCTTGCAGTTGGTGAAGTGTACTCATGCAGTAATTCCCTTGTCATAAAATAAGAAGGTTTTTTTCTACCTGATTCTGTCCTTTCCCAAGGAGTCCAAGTATCAAAACTTGGTCTTTATAGATCTGAGGCCACACCAATTTAATTTGTTGGTTCTCGGATTTTTTCAGAAAAAATATGAAGCGACAGGGCGAAAAAAAATAAAAATAAAAACAGGTCTAGGCATCCTATTATAGGCTTAAATGCTACAAAATGAGCCATGAAGTCAACGCAAAAGGCTGGGTTAAAATTTAAACATTGAATTTTGAACTTTTAATAAAACCACTGCAATGATAGATGGGAAAACTGTAACAACTAGGAAGAAAAGGACTTTCCTCAACTGTTGGGGGCAAAACATGAGCATTTTTCAGTTGATTCAGGACCAGAATCAAATTTTTCTTTTTTTGCAAATCAGAAAAAAACAAAGAGGCGAATCCGAGAACCAACAAATTAAATTGGTGTGGCCTGATGTCAATTTTGATCCAATTTGTCAGTGAGCATGATAATACTTATTCCAAGACAACTCAAACTCTACTACTGGATAAATTATGGCGATACTTCCGGACGTTTTGAATGACATTTGTCACTCATATAGTCGATCTGGATGTCTAACATTCATCAATGTATGATGTTACTTACTTGCCCCCCTGTACTGCCACCCCCACCGTGCTCCGTGGTGTAGACATGGGTGCGACATAGTTCCACTGCCGAGCCTGAGGGTCCCACCTCTCCACCGTGTTCAGGTAACTCCACCCATCATGGCCACCTACAGCATACATCGGCCCCTCCAGGACTGCAACACCTGAAAAAGAAATAATTGTATGGTTCTTAATGGCAAATATGCAGATCTTGGCACATTGGCAACACCAAGTCCATCTGTGTCCTCATCAGTGTTTGGACACAGCATCAATGATTAGCCAAAAGGCCCAGTGGCTGTCACTCCACCGTACAGGGAGGGTAGTTGTCAGGGGATTGAACCCTGGACCCCTTGGTTCATGAATTATTACATTACACAATGCCACACACACCTGATAATTGATATTCGTGTGTTTCTGCTCTTACTTTGAAGAGAATGCTGTGTTTTAACAGAGGCCTAATATTTGTTATGAGAGACAAACAGTCACCACAGTGTCACCTCAGTGTCACCACAGTGTTTCCTACATAGAAACATTGGATAAAGCAAAAGTATAGCTGTACTACAACAATAAATGCCTGATCATTCCTTACCTAGCCCATGTCTGTGTGTTGACATCGGCGGCATCGATGTCCACTGTTTGGTTTTGGGGTTGTAACATTCTGTGGTATTTAAAGTTTTCAGTCCGTCTCTGCCTCCGACTACGTACAGTTTCTCCTCTAAGACTGCCACCCCGAACTGCAGCCTGCGTCCGTTCATACTGGCCACCTGTGTCCAGGTGTTTGTGCGAAGGTCATACTTCTCTATACTGGTTGCACCTGGAGTGAGGGGGGGCAGAGAATTAATTTCAACTTTAATTTATTTGCTTCAAACATTCAAATGCTGAGGCTTATTCTGGGTGCGAAAAGTCAAAGAATTCAGGTATAAAATTCTCTTGTGATGAGACTCTTCCTTAAACTTTAAAAAGAGTTTGCTACTCTGAAGAGATTCTTCATCAACCTGGTAAAGTCAGATCTCATCTTGGAGTTCTCTTGTCACAAGTCGATTATCACGTGACAAGAGACAGTCATATACAGGCTTGAGGTAGTGAGTTGTCCCTTCTACAAGTAGATCAGCCCACCTTTAGTTGAGTCCATCCCACCGACAGCGAAGAGTGATCCGACAGTGGACTTCCTGGGCTTGGTCCTGGGGCTTTGCATCATGGGTCTCCTCTCTGGGAGGAGGTGGTACTTCATGGCCTCCATCAGCAGCTTCTGGCACTCCGGCTGCTCTTGGATCAACATGTTGGTCTCTATGTGGTCAGCTAGGAACTGCCAGGAACAAAACAGTGTAACATGATGTGTTAGAGAATTCTGTGAAACATATACTCAGTACTGTAAATTATGCATCCCCCGATTTGAGGCTGGTTGCAGAGAAATCTGTTTTAGATCAGCTTATGATAAAAATGATAAAACAAGAAATGCATAAAAAGCCTGCTGCAGTACTGTTGGAAAACACCAGGTGAAGCTCTGTTTTCACAGTCACTACTAACCTACCAAATGTCACAAAGATCCATTCACAGCTTCTCGAGTTATGCTGTTGAACATACATACAGACCCACACCACAGCCACTCCAAACTGAAAAATACCCTTCTGGCGAAGACAAAAAGCCCAGGACCCAAGGTTCTGGTGCAGCCTAAGTAGACTTTTAGAGAAAGCCCATGAAGACCTACCTGTGGTGTGAGGAGGGGGAGTCTGATATGACACAGCAGTCTGGCCAGGTCCTTTTTCCTGGAGTCAGGCTCGTGTTTCACCCACAGCAGCAGTGCCTGGAAGATGGTCTCCTCCCCGGGAACGTTCAGGTCATCGCTGGAGAACAGCTTCGCGACCTCTCCTGACGGCAGCATCAGGAACTCCTGGTTCTTTATCACCTCACAGAAGTTTTCCTACGAGAAAAAAACATCATATCAAAAACCATCAGGCATCATATTCAAATAGATATGCTCTATGATGAAACAAAGCAAGGAAGTCATTTATGAGAGGTACATACACAACAATTTAGAAAGGATATGGCTTCAAAGGTTTGCATCTTAACCTACAAGATAGTACTCTGTAGCCATACTGGCTTCTGCTATAATATAAGACTCCTGGGACCCTCTCCACAAGGATGACTGATAGCAGAATGACAGCGGTCCACTAGCCTGGTGGTAACGCGAGGGTCAGTCAATCGAAAATTTCATAATTACTGATGGCATTGAATTGGACAGTTAAGCACAGGGGGACAGATGGCTTACACAATTCACTCTCCCCAAATGGGGCAAACCAATAGACATGAAGTATGATGGATGCCAAGTAGAGAATTCTGCTACAAAGCTGCGTGACAGCGTATGTATGAGTGCTACATATCTCCCTTTGTATCAACTCCTTCTTGGACTGAAATACAGCATAGATGTCTAAGCAACTGCATGATTTTTGTACTCATTGCCCATTAAGGTGAGCTATACAATATATCCTACACCACCACCAGACTGACCAGAGCCAGAAGAACAAGATTACAAAAAAAAACAACATGTTTCCCATTTCTCAAAAAGAAGGGGAAATACAAGAATTACTGACTCACAGTGGTAAAATTGTGTGCCACTTTTAACAGATCCATGCAGCCGTTGGCATCTGCGAACTGCCTGATGCCGATACAGTTAGACGGGTGTAACTGTTTCATGAGGAATCCGCAGCAGGCCTCCACCACTTCAGACAGCTGCAGGATGCTGGCTGTGGACAGCAGACTCTCCACGTTGTCTTCCTTCAGTTCCAGTTTTCCTGCAGCAACAAACAATGAACACCACGCGTAAACAACAACACAATGCAAAAAGTAACAATGTTAAATACAACATCACCCTTTGGCAACACTATTTTGAGTAGAACTTATCATTTAAGTCGAATTATCACCTTGTAGATTATTTATATCTATTTATAACATTTATCAACTTCCAGTGGCAAATGGTCCTTGCATGTGAAATTGTTCTGTCACAATTATTATGTTGGGATATCATAATTTTCTATGTATTACCAAGATACATTCTAAAGAGATTCTTGCGTGATCTTATGGAAAAAGATTGCACATTGACTAGTAGATTGAGAATCCATTCAATCATTTTTCACAGTAACTAGAATGCTTAAAACGGTTTATTAAGTTTTTACCTAGTATTAAGACATAAATATCAATATCTTTCCAAGTCACAGAAATGAAACTCATTTTGCATCAGCAAAGTAACCTTTAGGTTATTTATGACTTAAGGATTTTAAATTCAGCGACAGTATGCCAATATCATTTCATTAAGCTGAAAGTACTTATAAAATGAGAAAGATGCTATGGCATGTACATGATTCAAGGAAAACATTTTCTTTCTATCCATTGGATATTAACCAGGAAAAACTTATCAATATAAATCCATTCAAAGTTAATCATTTCTGATATTCCTCTTATGCTTCTCATATCTATAACCAATCAACTACCAAGTACATTGGAATCCCTTTCCTAAATGTTCTTGGAAATTAATCACTTTTCCAACGTCCTCAATTATGACTATGATCCCTCAGAAACAGCAATTTGTCACGATTCCGCAGAAATATTGAGGACAGTAATAACTTCTATTCCCTTATGAAGATTTAGTCCCAGAGGAAAAATCGTCTTGATCCAATAGAGACTTGAGATGATGGCACAAAATCTGGGTTGGGCAACACAAAAACATTCCTTGCTTCTGGGTAACCCGTGCTATACTGGTAATTGATGACTAGATACTTTTGGTCAAGTTTAAAATCAGAATCTGTATTATAATAACATTACAAATACCAATTAATTAATTGAATGATGCATTGGAAAAATTAAATATCAAAAGAGTTTTCCGGAAATTTTAGCCCTCTTCAGAATTTTAAAGACAATTTTCGCCCAGTATTTATAGATGCCTTTTAGCTGTAATTCAGCAACATGAATCAGAAAGTGGTGCTGCTATACCCTAAAGATTGGGACATATATCCCTTGGCCAGAAAAGCGAATTTATAGACCTGGACAAACCACCCTTACCCAATCCACTATTTCCCAGTAACCTATAATAGAACTTCAACATTTATCCGGTCCATTTTCCATGTAATCCTTCAAACTTATTGAATTTCCGGATGTCCAATGCTGCAAAGTGGCCTGCTTGATACAAGCCAGTCTGTAGGCCTCGCTGCACTTACTGAATACCCAAAATAGGGTTGTGACTTTGTGGTATCAGCAATAAAAGACTCTTTATTGAAAGTCAATAGCTTCAGGCATTTAGAGGTTCATCCTAATGGCCGTCTCCTGTCTATAAAGAGACAGTTTGGCCCTCCGGTCCTAAATCTGCGTTAAGCCTGACTTTGGTCTGACATGGAAATGAGCTAATGATATATTAAGGCCTGCCTCGGACACTAATCTCCTAGCCAGGGGAAGGGAACTTTCTTACAGTCCATTCACTTCCAACTTTTGGAGACATGTCACTGAAGATTTCACCAACAATTCACTACAGTGGATCTGGATGTACCAGGGGTAGCATACAATGTAGCATTTACAACGCCCACACAGTCATTCTATTTAATGACTAAAGCAATGAAAATGAGTTCACAGGATATATAGAGTTCTGTTTAAATGTTCTTTGGATACATGCATGTACTTGAATAATAAGTTAAAGGTAAAAGCATTTTAGAGTTAGAAGATTACTACAAGATAGCAGATGACCATTTTGATGAGCACAAGACTTTCCATAGCACAGTAAAGAAGTCCCATAAAACTCTCTAAAAGGACCAGTACTGTAGAGATAGGTTTATGAAGATGATAAAAGCTTCTTACTTCAACACTGCTTGTCAGTAATGGCTTTTATTACACACTGAGTTTGCTCTTACTGCTGACAACATTAGGAGTTATGCTTGAGAAAATTATCAAACTACACGTACTTTCAAAACTTTCGTTCCTTGTCTAGAAGCTACATGTACAGGGGGATCCGAGGCTTATCATCAAACTCCATAGAGTGGTCTGGAAACATCTTTATCAAAGAGAATCATTCAAAAGGAGGAAGCTCTAAAACGTTTCCTCCACACTGGAGAGATGACACGAATGGACTGCCCTTTAGCCGTAGGCAGGGATTTGAGTCTTAATGGTCCTGCTCAGTTCTGGACGGATTTGCAGTTTTATCAGAACTGGCAACGTAAATGGGCCAGGCGTAACTTCATAGCACGGAGTATACAGAGGAAGTCTTTCGAGAAGCCATTGCCACAGCCAAATGGTTCTGAAGGGCTTCC